CACAAAGCATCTACTACAGTAACATCAATGCGTTCTTCTTACCTTGGCTGGGGAAAGCATATTTGGGACTCCGGATTCAAGGAGCGATGTGGGGAGTGATAATCGAGAGAACACTTGCTTGTGGGTTGTGAGCAGAGCCCTGAAGCATGGCAGCCGGCAGGCAGCTAGGAAGAGCAGCAGCCTGGAGGGGCCTTGCAGGAGGGGCCGGGGAAGGGGCAGGTAGGAGGCCAGGGCATCTGACAGGATTTTTACATCATTGCGAGATGTCAGGTTTTACTAAAAGCTTCCTCCTACTGTTAGTGGTACTTTGGGGCAAATAAAGGGGAGAGGGCTGTGACCTCGCGGGGTGAGAACATGGAGAACAGATAATGGGATGGTGGAAGTGACTGTAGAAATGGCAGAGACAGCAGCCAGAGCCGGTGGTGATAGGTGACCATAGATGGGATCACAGGACGTAGTCATGACATAGAACGTTCATTGAGCAACTACTGTGTGTCGGGCACTGTTCTGAACATGTCCCACATATCAACTCATATGTTTCTCACAACAACACCCAGAGGTAGGTCTTATTATTACCCCCATTGTAAAGATGAGGAAGCTGAGGCACAGAGAGGATAAGTGACTTGCCCACGACACACAGTTCTAAGTGGCAGATCTGAGATTTGAACCCAGGCCCTCTGACTCCTAACCCTGTCACCTGCCTCACATGGAGGGTTGGTCTTTGCAATTCTATAGGAAGAAAACCTGTTTATAACCTCCTTTTTGTGGCCACACAGCCGGGAGGCACAGACAATATCTGTTGGTCCATCTGGAGGGAAAGATCCCAGAGGGCTGAGGGACATCTAGTATCACAGAGGAGACAAGGCTCTGCTGGGGCAGGAGACCCCCCTGCTGAGCGTGGAAGGGCTGTGGGGATAAAAACTGGTGAGTTTTGGCCACTTGAAACCTATTTCTCCCATTTCTTCCAATGGCTCTGCGGTAGGAGACAGACAGGCCCCCGGATGAGCAGCTGCAGCTGGTCTCCTGCTGATGCTTTGAGATGGACACCAGCGGGAGCACCGGGCCCTGATTGGGTGCATTCTTGTGGATTTCCCAGCCCAACACATGCGCAGAGAAGGCCTCAGTCTAGGGGAAGGACAAAAGGAGGGGGAAGAGGCCAGCTGGAATCCATCTTGGCTGAGAGGTGGGCACCCACCACAGGACGAAATATGGAGATGATTGGCCAGAAAAACAACCCAGAAAACTGCCCCTATATGAGTGACCTAAGCCACCCCTGTTGCTTGCAACTCACTCTGAGTTTGCCTGTGTCCTCTGCCACACGCACGTTGTTTCTTCAATGTGTACTTTCCTCCATTTTAGACAGTCCTCTTTTAATCACCACCCTCCACTCTCAGGGAGGAAACCGAGCCTCTCCTGCTCTGTACCCCCGGACCAATCCCCAATCCTACCTCCCTATGCTCTTTCATCCCTACCTCCCTATGCTACCTCCGTATGCTCTTTGATCCGCACCGGTACCCCAGGATGAAAATGCTAGTCCTGCTGAGGTAACCCATAGTGGGACTTCCTATCACCCAGGATCAGGGAGAATATGCCCTCTTAGAGAAGTGGCAAATGGCGAAGGCACAACCAGAGTACATGTGCCCTTCTGACTCAAGTCCAATGCGAACAAAGGCTGGGATGATTTTCTGAAGACCCTAGTAGATTCAACCCCTAACCCTGGACTTTGATTTAACTTGGAAGGATGTCCAAATAGTACTATCTACCAGCTGTACCCATGAGGAGAAACACAGGATTTAGACAGCAGTCCAGGGGTACGCTGATCAGCTCAGCAGGGACCAACCTCACATTTATGATGTGGGTGAGGACGCAGTCCCAAATCAGGAGCCCACTTGGGATTATAATTCCCTGGGGGGGAATGAAGGCCAGGAACCACATGGTCCAATGCCTATTAGAAGGAATGAGAGAGACTTCCCTGGTGGTCCAGTGGTTAAGACTCCGTGTTCCCAATGCAGGGGGCGCGGGTTCAATCCCTGGTCAGGGAACTAGATCCCGCATGCCGCAACTAAGACCCAGCGCAGACAAATGAATAAATGAATATTAAAAAAAAAAAAGAAAAGAAAAGAAGGAATGAGAAAGTGCGTCAGAAAGCCAGTTAACTATGAAAAGGTCAGGGAAGTGACCCAAGAGAAAGAAGAAAACCCAGCTCTCTTTCAGGGACGGCTTGTGGAGGCTTTTAGAAAATTTACTAACACAGACCCCTCCACTCCCGAGGGTCAAGCTCTGCTGGGACATTTTGTCAGTCTGCCCCAGATATTAGGTGACAACTCCAAAAGTTACAATTAGGCCCACAAACCCCTATGCACCAACGCTTAGAGGTGACCTTTGGGGTATTTAATAATCGAGATCAAATTCAGGAGGAGGAGAGAACTCAGTGTGAGAAAAGGCAGGCCAAGGCTCAAGCTAAACAGGTAACAGTTGCTGTCAGCCATGCCTGGGAACCTCAGGGCAACCCAAAGGGGACAAGGAGTTTCAACCATCAGTCTCGAGGTAAAACCAACAAGAGGGAATGCTTCAAATATAAGTCAACTGGCCACTGGGCCTGCAAATGCCAGGAGCGCCCCCAGGCCATGCGCAGCCTGCAAAGAGACCGGTCTCTGGAGATGGGCGTGCCCTCAGTCCTGAAGGGGAAAGGTGGCTCTGCTCCAGATGGCCATGCTGGACAACTGAGGCGGTCCCAGGGATTCTGGTGGCTCCCCCATGCCCCCTCACGAGCTGTCTATCTCTGTCGAGGAGCCCCAGGTGGTCCTTGATGTGGCAGGTAAGAAGATCGAGCTTTTAAATTGATACGGGAGCCACTTATTCTGTCTTGATTTCTCATGCTGGGCCTCTTTCCTCTAAAAGTTGCACAGTTAACTGGTGTTGACAGAAAGCCTTGAGCGCATTACTTCCCTGGGCCCCTCGCTTGCCGGTTCGAACAGTGTTTGATCTCACATGCCTTTCTAGTTGTTCCTGAGTGTCCTGCCCTACTACTGGGGTGAGACCTTCTGGGCTCCCTTGGGGCTATATTAGGGTTAAGGGTGGGCCTAGGGCAGCCCTTTATCTTGACCCTGGCTAAGGCAGATCAATGGGAAAAGCAAGGGCCTACTCGAAGGCTGATCTTCAGCTCTTGCTTTTTTAACCTGCTTGTTAAGTTTGCTTTTTCCAGGTTACAGCAATTCAAGATGATGGTGATGCAGGGATTGCATCCACTGCCTGAAACCAGTCCTGCCGGAATAACAGAAGTTGCCCTGGGGCCCCTAACAAGGCAAGGTAAGAGCTCCCTGGCCGCAATTAAGTCGGGTCTGTGAACCCAATGTCAGCCTGAAGAAGCTACAGAAGATGAACCATTGCCCTTCATCCTCCCAATAAGATTTTTTTGAGTCCACATCTCTCAGGAGGGATTTGAGGTAGGAGATAGGCCCCCGGATGAGCAGTTGCAGCTGGTCTCCTGCTGCTTCGAGATGGGATACCAGCGGAGGTATTGGGCCCTGACTGGGCGCATTCTTGTGGATTTCCCAGCCCAAAACATGTGCAGAAAAGGCCCTCAGTCTAGGGAAAGGGCAAAAGGAGGGAGAAGATGCCAGCTGGAATCCATCTTGGCTGAGAGATGGGCGCCCACACCAGGACCAAATATGGAGATGATTGGTCAGAAAAACAACCCGGAAAATTGCCCCTATAAAACAACCTAAGCTGCCCCTATTGTGTGCAACCTCTGTTGCTCTGCCACGTGTACTTTGCTTCTAATAAACGCTTTTATCTTTTTCGTAATCTTTGTCTCTTTGCTGAATTCTTTCTTCAAAGAAGACAAGAACCAAGGTCCTTCTTCCAGCCACTCCACCACCAGAATCAGCTACAGCATCCTTTTGGGGAAATACTATTCTACCGAACCCTGAGCCACAGGTGGGCAGGATGGGGTGTCATAGTCACCGGTGGGCCTTGCCCCAGCCCAGGACAGGTAGGTGCAGAGCGGCCCCTCCATGGTCAGCTCTGCCTGGGGCGACCAGGCTGAGGTCTGCCTTGTTGGGGAGGGGAGAGATGGGGGTCCCACTTTGGGTGACTGAGGAGTTACAGGGACAGGGAGAAAAATGGAGAGGGACAGACAGTGAGGCACATACAAGAAAGACACAGAGAAAAAGAGACACAGGAAGAGATATAAAGAGAGAGATGGAGGGACTTCCCAGGCGGTTCAGTGATTAAGACTCCATGCTTCCAATGCAGGGAGCATGGGTTCGATCCCTGGTTGGGAACTAAGATCCCACATGCTATGCAGCCCGGCCAAAAAAAAAAAAGAGAGAGAGAGAGAGAGAGAGAGGGAGACAGCGGGAGATACAGAGAGAGATACAGATACAGATAAACAAAAAATGGAGAAAGACAAAAGGAGACCAGAGAGATGGACAGAGACAGTGAGGTCAAGATAGAGAAGAGAGATAACAATGGCAGGCAGAGAGAGAAACTGTCAGATGGAGAGACAGAGAGAGAGACAGCAGTAAAGATAACTCCCTCCAGGATAAAGCAGGCTATAAAAAAGGCAGATCAAAGGCACTAAAAAAAAAAAAAAAAAAAAAAGATGCCTCTCTCCCCACCCCTGCCCTTCTCAACCCCACAGAGGGAGGCCTGCAGGGACAAGCTGGCAGAGATGCACCGCCCACACTGACCTCCTTCTAGGCACTCCCACAGCAGCAGCCGGTCCTCCTTCAGCTCTGCCCACCTTCCCTCCTGCTGCTGGCCAAGCCCATTAAGCTGCTACCCTAGCCACAACTGAAGGCCCCACGCCCTGAGGAGGAAAACACTGAAGAGGCATCCTTGCTCCCCGGCACCCCAAACCATCAATTAGTATTAACGAGGGAAGGTTCCTCTCTGCCTAAAGACCCCCATCTGGGCTCAGATGGAGGGGAGGCCCCACCCCCATGACTCAGGAGGTTAAAGGGCCTAGAGCCGGCCTATGAGCCCACAGTGTCCGGATGGCGTGTGGCAGCAAGAGAATCACCATCCAGCTGGTGAACCAGGAGGCAGGGCCTGGAACCAAGGGCCCAAAGCCCTCTCGGGGCCAGAACTACAAAGCAATCCGAGCAGCCTGCCTGGATGAGGGGATCCTGTTCCGAGATCCCTATTTCCCTGCTGGCCCTGATGCCCTTGGCTATGACGAGCTGGGGCCCGACTCGGAGAAGGCCAAAGGGGTGGAATGGAAGAGGCCCCATGTAATGTGTGGATGGGGGTTGGGCTCCTGGGTCTGAGGAAGGAGGCTGGGGGCTGGGCTCCTGGTCTGAGGGAGGAGGTGTCACTGTGGGACCAGCTCAGAGCAGGTTCAGCAATCCTGGGTCAGGGGAGGCCCAGGGAAGCCAAACGGCTGCCCACAGGTTTTACAAGCCTCTCATGGGGTTGGAGGCGCTCATTACTCCAGAGCCGCGAGGGCAGGAGGGGGCCCGGGCATCTGACCCCCCAGCTGCTTCTTCCCTCCCCTTCCTGGCTGAGGTCTGGATTCCCCCATCTCCCCCAGGAGTTTTGCGCTAAGCCCCAGTTCATCTGTGAGGACATGAGCGGAACAGACATGTGTCGGGGGAGTCTGGGTGAGACCACTGAACCCATGCTGAGCCCCCAGATCTGGCAGGTTGCAGAGGGGAACCCGACAGCTCCGCCCTCAGCCTCCCCCTGCCCTGTCCCTGCCCCTCCCTCTCCCTCTCAGGCTCTCCTTTCCTGGTGCCTCGGTCTCCCTCTTTCCACCCTCCCCCAATCCCAGCCTTTCCTGCCAGGTAACAGCTGGTTTCTTGCAGCCGCTGCCTCCATCACTCTGTACCCACGACTCCTGTCCCAGGCGGTCTCCCCGGGACAGGGCTTCCAAGATGGCTACGCAGGCATCTTCCGCTTCCAGGCAAAGCTCGGTTCCTCTGTTCATGCCTCAGTTTTCCCCAGGGTGACATGGATTTCATAGCTGACGCTGTCCCCATGGGGCTGTAATTTCCTGACTGGTACAGCAGGGTCAGGCGTCAGAGGTTGGGGCCCAGCAGGGTTGGAGGTGGGAAGCCGAGCCCAGGCCCCTCCCCTGCTGGGTGGACGTCGTGGTGGACGACAGGCTGCCTGTGCGTGAGGGGAAGCTGATGTTCGTGCGCTCGGATCAGAGGAACGAGTTCTGGGACCCACTCCTGGAAAAGGCCTACGCCAAGTAAGGACCCCGACGCCACCAGGGGCAGCCCCAAGTCCCAGCCAGCAGGCCCCAAGCCACAGGGGACGCCTGGAGCACCCCCGACTTCTGGGATCCTCTAGACACCCCACCAAAGATCTCAAACCAAGGTACAGCCCACAGGACCCTCATGTCATACCATCGCCTGAGGACCTCCAAATCATAAACACCTCCCTGATTTTTTTTTTCTTGGGGGGGCGTGCCTTGTGGCATGCGGGATCTTAGTTCCCTGACCAGGGATTGAACCCGCGCCCCCTGCATTGGGAGCCCAGAGGCTTAACCACTGGACCACCAGGGAAGTCCCCCTCCATGGATATTTCACACAAAATATTCCTAGATACCAACCGAACACTCTTAATTCTGAAGGAGACGGAAATCTCGTATCAGGCCCCGGAGTCACCAGATCTAAGTAATCCCCTTGGGGGACCTGTAACCTCAGACAATCTCTCCTGATCCCTTGAGAAACCCAAGACACCTCTAAAATATTGGGTGTAATCCTGGGACCCTTAAATCTTCACTTTTCCCCATTCTGCAGCTCTGAAATCCCTGACAAACCCCCTAGGGATCACCCCCCAAAGCAGACATCTCCCACAGACTCAAAGTGTCAGACACAGACCCCAGGATGCCCAGAATTCTGACAGAGCTCTTCTGTGACCCCCAAATCACGCAGTCCTGGTGGCCCCAAGAGCCACCAGCCAAATTTCTCAGGGCTTACCAAGGGCACCCTCCTTAAGAGTCTGCAAATTTGGGGGACAGCCCTTGGGACCTCACAGCATGAGACAGAGGCCCCCCACATTCCCATGGTTGCCCAAGATACTCGCCCATACCTCAGACACCCCACCCGAGACCTGCTTCCACAGGCTCCATGGCTCCTATGAGGTGATGCGAGGCGGCCACATGAATGAGGCTTTCGTGGACTTCACAGGCGGTGTGGGCGAGGTGCTCTACCTGAGGCAGGACACTCCAGGCCTCTTCTCTACCCTGTGCCATGCCCTGGCCAAGGGGTCCCTCGTGGGAGCCACTGCCCTGGTGAGAGAGTCAGACTAGACTCCCATGAAGACCCCCGCCAGGACCAGAGTGCAGTCACAGCTAGAGAGGGGTGGTGTCCTGTGTCTTTCTCGCCTCTGCTTTCACTGTTGGCTTATTGTCTCTCACAAATCTAATTCCAGCAAGTCAAAAGGGCATTTATTTGCTCTCATGACTAATTAAGCTTCAGGCACAGCTGGATCCAGGTGCTTAGTGGCTGTTGTGAATGTGTTTTTCTATTCTTGCTTCTGGGTTAGATTCACTCACAGGCAGGCTTTCCTCTCATGGGCACAAAAGTGGGCCCCACAGCTGCAGGTTCCTCCTACTGCCCCCGGGGGATGTGTGTGTGTGAAAAAAAAAGTGCCTCTTTCTGAGAATTTCAACAAAAGTCTCAGGACTGATTTTTCACGGGCTCAGTTTGGGTCATATGTCCATCTGTGACCCAATCACATATTCATTCACTGAGTCAGTCTAACTCATTCGTTCATTCATTTATTTAATCCTCTACTCAGTTACTGAGTGTCATTTGCATTTCTCCACCTCTTTTCCTCTCTGTTCTGTATCTTTCTCTGTCCCTGTGTCTCTATGTCTCTCCTCTTTATTTATATTTTTAGTAAATTTTTTAAAAATAAATTTATTTATTTTTATTTTTGGCTGTGTTGGGTCTTCGTTGCTGCACGCGGGCTTTCTCTAGTTGCAGTGAGCAGAAGCTGCTCTTCATTGTGGTGCGCGGGCTTCTCATTGCGGTGGTTTCTCTTGTTGAGGAGCACGGGCTTCAGTAGTTGTGGCAACGGGCTTAGTTGCTCCACAGCATGTGGGATCTTCCCAGACCTAGGGCTTGAACCTGTGTCCCCTGCGTTGGCAGGCGGATTCTTTTTTTTTTTTTTTTTTTTTGTGGTACGCGGGCCTCTCACTGTTGTGGCCTCTCCCGTTGAGGAGCACAGGCTCCGGACGCACAGGCTCAGCTGCCATGGCTCACAGGCCAGCCGCTCCGCGGCATGTGGGATCTTCCCAGACCGGGGCACAAACCTGTGTCCCTTGCATCAGCAGGCGGACTCTCAACCACTGCGCCACCAGGGAAGCCCGGCAGGCGGATTCTTAACCACTGCGCCACCAGGGAAGTCCTATGTCTCTCTTCTTTAAATCTGTTTTGGTCTCTTGTCTCCATCTGCCTCTCTCTCCTTCTCTTGCCTTCACTTGCCAACTCCCAGCCCCTCTCAGAGCCTGGTGCCATTCAGTTAGGTGCTCTGGGTGACTCCTGCTTTGGTGAAAGGAGGTGGGGATGCAGAGGGGAGCCCTGTCCCCTGCTATGGCTCACTGTCCTGTCCTCTTCCCAGAGTGATCGGGGTGAGTACCGTACAGAAGACGGGCTGGTGAAGGGACATGCATATTCAATCACAGGCACACACAAGGTGAGGAACCCCCAGGGTGGGCTGGCAGGGGGTGTCCAAGCACCAAGCCCCCACTGACCACGTCTCCCTTAGGTGTCACGGGGCTTCACCAACGTGCGTCTGCTGCGTCTGCGGAGCCCACAGGGCCGAGTGGAGTGGCCTGGGGCCTGGAGTGATAGGTGGGATGGATCTGGGGTGGGTGGGTGGCTCGGTCCCACCTGCCCACCCCTTACGCCTCGGTCTCCCCAGATGCCCATGCTGGGACGTGCTCTCCGCTGAGTGGCGAGATGCCTTGCTGGTGAAAAAGGAGGGTGGTGAGTTCTGGTGAGTGGGGCAGGGTCCCCGGTCTGCTTCGGGGAGGGGCGCCAGGCCAGCAGGGTCAGGGAGGGGGCAAGTCCCGCTTGAAGGGACATTGGAGAAGTTCATGGGGGTGGGTCCTAACGGGGAGAAACTGTCCGTGTCTGTGGTAATTCGGGAGCTGGGTTCTATTTCGGGGAGTCGAATTAGAATTAGGAGTAACATTAGGGAACTTGGAAGCATAGTAATCTTTGGAGGGTTGAAGGGGGATGGGTAATATTTAGGGCAGTTGAGGGAGGCTTGGTGACATTGGGGCATTTCTTGAGATTTGGCAATATTGAGGGGCTGAAGGATACTTACTGGTAATAGAGAATCTGAGGGTCTTGATATTTGGGGGTTGAAGGCAATTTGACCATATCTGGGGGGAGTTTGTGGATCTTGGCTATTGGTAGGGCATTTCTGAGGACTTGGAGAAATCTGAGGGAGCTGGAGGGCTCTAATTTGAGGGTCATTTCTGGAGACATGTATTATTTGGGGGACTGAAGTGTACTTGGCGACATTTAAGGAATTTAGGGGCTTTGTGACTTGGGGGGTCATGAGCTATTTGGGGCAGGGGCCAGGCCAGGGTCTGACTGCCGGCCACCGTCCAGGATGGAGCTGCAGAACTTCCTCTGCCACTTCGCCACCATCCAGGTCTGCTCGCTGAGCCCTGAGGTGCTGGTCCGCAGCCCAGCTGGAGGCAGCAGGCACAACCACACCTTCCAAGGCCGCTGGGTACGCGGCTTCAACTCTGGCGGGCCAGCCTCGTGCCGGTGAGGCCTGGAGGGGCCCCGGAAGGCAAGCAAGGGGGGCCGCGGCAGGCTGGGTAACCCTGTTTCTTTGTCCTTTACTAGAAACCTTCTGGACTCACCCCCAGTTCCGGCTGACGCTGCTGGAGCCTGACGAGGAGGACAAGGGGCCCTGGGAGGGCTGGGGGGCAGCAGGGACGCGGGGCCCCCACTGGGGGCCGCACCCCCAAATGCACTGTGCTTCTGTCACCCATCCAGCGCAACCGGCGGCGCCTGAGGGCCCAGGGCCTCACATACCTGACCGTGGGCTTCCACGTGCTCCAGGTGGGACGCCGGGCTGGAAGAGGCAATGGGGGGAACACAGAGGCATGGAGGTGCAGGAGGCCAAAGGGGGGATATGAGGGGGTAGAGGATGGGGGCCGAGGGTCAGAGTCAGGAGACAGCTGAGGAAATCGGAGGTGGGGGTCAAGGAGACACCGAAGGGCTAGGGAGGGCGCAGAGGGAGAGGCTGGGGGTCAGAAGGGTAGAGGGGTGAGGGGTCAGAAAGGAGACAGAGAAAGGGCTGGAGGAAAGACTGAGGATCAGGGAGGGGACCGAGGAGCAGAGGGCACAGATGGGAGGGAGGGGTCCGGAGGGGCTGGGGCAGGGGCTTTAGAAGGGGTGGGATGGGAAGAAAAGGGAGGGAGGGGTGTGGAGGGAGCCGGAGCGGGGGGACTCTGAGGGGTAGCTGCCTCTGCCTGGCCCTGACTTCCCTTGCTCTTCCTTCTTACAGATCCCAGAGGAGGTGGGTATCAGGTAGGACCCCAGATTCCATCCATCTCTGAGCCAGCCCCAGCAGCTGGGACAACCTGGGGGCCTGGGACGCGCTTGGGGTGATGGGTGACCAGTGAGTTTGGACAGGGCGGTGTGGAGGATGCAGTGGGTCGGAGGCTGGGTGGGGTGAACTTGGAAGGCGGTGGTCACGCCGCCCTGCCCCCCCGCTGCTGGGACTGTGGGACTCCCCGCGCAGTCGCGAGCTCTTGCGGGGCCTGCTGCGCGCCGAACGCTCGCCCTTCTGTGCCCGCCGCGACGTGAGCCACCGCTGCCGCCTGCGCCCCGGCCACTATCTGGTGGTACCCAGCGCCCCCGCGCCGCCCGCGCCGCCCGCGCCGGCGACGAGATCGACTTCACGCTGCGCGTGTTCTCCGAGAGCCGCCACACCGCAGTGTGAGCCGGGATCCCCTGCTCCGCCCCGGGATCCCCTGCCCCGCGCCTGGGTCAGCCCAGCCCCCCCAGGATCCCACCTAGACCCCACCCGAGCCTCAGCTGAGACCCCGTGCGGCCCATATCCCCAGCCGCGGGGTGAGCAGTCCCCTCCCCCCATCTCCCGTCTGTAATTTGCAGGGAGATAGATGATGTGATCAGCGCCGACCTGTGTGCCCTCATGGTGAGGCGCTGCTCTGGGAAGGGGTGCGAGGGTGTGTGTGTGCTGGGGGGCGGGGGTCCTCTTGGCCAGAACTAAACACCATCTACCCCACAGGTCCCCTACATTCCCCTGGAGCTAGAGATGGAGCAGCTGTTTCAGGAGCTGGCAGGAGAGGTGAGGAGATGGGGCAGGGCTAAGGGGGTCCCTTCCCTCCCCTCCCCTCGCCATGTACCCCTCCATCCCTTTCTCCCTCATCCTAGACATCTCATTTTGCTTTGATTTCTCAGTCTGTCTGTGCTTAAATCTCATGAGCTTCTTTTCTCAAAATGCTCACAGCTCTTCCCTGCCTCAGAGCCTTTGCTCAGTCTGTACCCTCCCCCTGGACTGCTTTCTCTCCCTTCACAACCCCTGCCAGGCTAAGGCCTTATCTTTCCAACGTGCCCTGATCCTCCCCCAGGCTGGTCAGCTGCTTGTCCTCTGTGGGCTCCTGCAGCCCAATTCTTCCCCATTGCAGCCCTGACCACTCTGGGGACAGGTCTCACTCCCTTCCAGGACCAGGAGCTCTGAGAGGGCAGGCCTGGGCTTCTCTCAGTCCCTGCCGTGTACCAGCACCACCCAGCATACTGTCTGGGCGGCCCAGGGCTGTTTGCTGAATGACTGCCCGAGTGCAGGCTCACAAACCGGCTCTCTCCTTACCAGGAGGAAGAACTCAATGCCCCTCAGCTCCAGACCTTATTAAGCATTGCCCTGGAGCCTGGTGAGTTGGGGACCAAGAGTGGACTCCAGAGCCCCCATGTGTGTTAATCCACGATGCTTCTGGGAGTCAGGCCATGGGAACCCTGGGCTCAGCCTGCTGGCGTCTCCCCTGTAGCCAGACCTGTGGGTTCTGTGAATAGGACCCATGGCCAAGTCCATGGCCACGTATAAGCCCATCTTCCTTTATGGAAGTGTAACTGTCCTGAGCACAGACCCAGAGCCCCGTGCCTGGGTTCAAATCCCAGCTCTACTAGTTTCCAGCAGTCCCATGGCTTTCTGCACCTCAGTTTCAGAAAGGATTGTTGAGGATAACAATAATCCCTAGCACTTACACTGACGGCCGGTACGCAGAAAGTACCTTTTTTTTTTTTTTTCCTGTAGCCAGGGCCCATGCACGGACTCCCAGGGGAATCGGGCTCAGGACCTGGGAGCGGCTGCTGCAGCGTTTTGGGGTATATGACGGGGGGGCATTGCCTGGGTAGGGAGGGTGGCCTCCTCTTCCCTTCTGGGGACATTGACCTTAACCAGATGCCGCATCCCCAGCATGGGCGAAGCCTCGACCTGTACCACTTCCAGCAGCTCTGGGGCCACCTCCTGGGGTGGCAGGTAAGATGGGGGCTGGGCAGGGCACCTCCTTCTGGAGGGAGAGGCACCTTTACTAACATGGGCATAGGTGCTCTGTGGGTTAGCAGGGCCCCAGGGGAGAAGGGGAACTTGACCACACCACGCCAACCTGGAGGCATCTGGGTGGGATATCCCTGCCCCATACACCCCTTTGTTGTCCCTCTACTTATCACTGGGAGGCGATAATTCCCCGCCCCGCCCCTGCTCTGGATCCCTGTGAGGAGATGGTCCCAGGTCTCCCCACACTGCAAGTGGTAAGCCACTGTTCACTGAGCCCTCACTAAGCCCTTTGTGGTTAGAATATCACCTTGTCCTCACAACACCCTTGTTACTGCTGGTACTGTTATTCCCAATTTACCGAATGGGAAACAGACACCCAAAGTGGTTAAGCTGCTTGCACAGGGCAGCCAGGAAGAAAGGGAGGTGGGTGGGAACTCAGGCTCTCTGGCTCCAAGACCCACTTTCAGCCTCCTTCAGGGTGCCTAGGGGCCTGGGGGTGGGACTGACCAATACCTCCCTGCCCAGGCCACATTTGACAAGCTCGATGAGGACGCCTCTGGAACCATGAACTCCTATGAACTGAGGCTGGCCCTGAACGCAGTGGGTATGGACAGAGGTCCTGCGGGATCCTGGGGACAGATCTGCTCCCCCTCCTCCCCTGTACTCCTCCCCCACCATCCACAAAGCCCACACCTCAGTTGCCCACTCTTGGCAGGAAATGGGTGACCCTGAGAGAGGCCCAAAGGGGAGAATCCTCTGTGTGGGGGGAGGAGGGCACTGAGGGAGGGAGTGCGGCCCTCCTGGGAGGGGAAGGGGGGGTGGGCGCTGGTGTCTGAGAGGCCCCAGCTCCCAGGACCTCATGGTAGAATGTCCTGGACTCCTGGACTCCTTGGGTGGCCCTGGGTGCCTGGAGCCTCCATTTCCCTCTCTGTAAAATGGCTAATACACAGGGTGGCCAGGAGGAGCCTGTGGAATGGAGCCCACAGGGTTTAGTGCTGGGGAATGCAGCTTCCATGACAACATGCCAGAGTGCCCAAAGGAAGGCTCCCACTGAAAGGCTGAGTTCTTCCAGGAGACGTAGAACAGCCCCATTCCATTTGTGTGGGAGCACAAAAATCCTAGCCAATGAACAGAGGCAGAGAGCAACTTTTTCCCTGGGCTCTACAGTTGGAAAAGTGCGTGTGATCTGTCCCCCACCCCACCTTGCATGGACGGGGTGTGGTCTGGGATCAGACACAGAGCTCCGAGACCCCCACCCCCACCCCAGGGCTCACCTGCCACAGCAAAGGGAAGGGTGAGACATGGGGAGATGGGGGGCTGGGGGGTGATGTGACCCAGAGTCTGAGAGGCAGGGGGAGACCCTGAGGGGGGAAGTCAAAGGTGCAGGGAGGTGCAGGAAAAGGGAACTCAAGACAGGGGGGAGATGGAGTCAGAGAGAAGATTGGGAGATGTGAGCCTGAGAAACAAGAGTCCCAGGTAGGCAGAAGCAGAGGCGAGAGAGGGTGGCGGAAGGTGGAAGGCTGTACTGTTCACGCGGTATGCCCGAGTGCCTGGTACAAGCCTGGCGTTAGTCTAGGCAGAGGAGCGCTCTAAGGGGCTGACGTGCTGATGGTACAGACACAGAACAAGCAGAACGTCTAGCGCAGATGGTGAGAAGTCCTACAGTGGCAAAAGGAAACAGGCCATGGTGCTGGGACCCGCAGAGGGTGAGGTGTGGGTTGAGACATGGCGGTCAGGGAAGGCCTCACTTGGGTGATGTGTGAGCAGAGACCGGAAGGAGTGAGCCTTGGGGACTCCGGGGAAGAGCGGTCCACATGGGGAAAGTCAGTGTAAAGGCCCTGAGGAGGCTGGTGTGGAGGCAGCGGAGTGAACGAGGGGCCCAGTGATGGAGATGACAGGGGGCCAGTGTGGCTGGAGCCAAGTGGGGAGGGGGAGGTGGTCAGAGAGGAGATCGGTGGAGGAAGACAGGAGAGCCCCACGAGGCCTTGGGAGGACAGCTCTTTAAAAATTCTTAAATATGTATGAGAGGGAGGAGGGAGAGGCAAGTCCGGGGTCAGGGACTTGTGTGTGAGCCTGGAGCTGACAGGCAAGGGAAAGGTGGTGTGTATGGTGGAGGGAATACCAGGGAGCGGGCCAGCTGGGAGCAAGGTCCGGAGACCTAGCCAATCCTGGGCTGGGGGGACGGACAGGAGAAAGAAACTGCTCCGATCCAATCCTATCCTCTGCTCCACAAACACCCCCTGAGCCCCGCTCTGCTCCAGGCCCTGTGCTGGCTGATGCTGGGGATTCAGTGGTGACCAGAAGCCCTTCCTGGACCTCACCCACCACTCACTCCCCTGCCCAGTGCAGGCGCAGCCAGACCCACCAAAGACAGTGACAGCCCAGAGGGCTCAGGGCAGGGATGTGGAGGCCCAGAGGGGTCAGGGCAGGGACGTGAGCTGTGGGACCCCAGAGGAGGGGCTTGATGCTGCTTGCTGGGGGCTGAGTGTCTGAGAGGACTTCCTGAAGGAGGCGTGTATCAGAGTAGGAACACTCTGGGCTGAGAGGACGTGGTGTTCTGGGCAGAGGGAACATCAAGTGCAAAGAAGGCAAGGCAAAGCCCAAGGTCAAGTAGAGGAGAGGGAGGCGGGGAACAGGAGATGAGGTGCAGCCTGTGCAGGCCACCAGGCGGCTTGGGACAACAGGGGCCCTGGGGAGGGGTAACCAGGAGGTCATGGTCACTAGGGCCCAGTAACCGAGGTAAGGGCTTTCACAAGGACTGGCTTTTAAAAGCCTCTGTTGGACGATTCCTCATCGGAGGTGATTTCTGAACTCCAGAAATCACCCCTGATCTGGAGCATCAAGAAATTGACTCCATACGGGGCTGACGAAAATGCTTTGCTGCACAGAAATATTCTCTAGTGTCTATTAGCAGAAATCCTGCAGAGTTTAAAGGAATAATAATACAATAGTTATGATGTGCCAGACACTGTCCTAAGCTCTCTACATATAACATCTTCACACGACCTTATAGGGTCAGGGCTATCATAGTCCCCATTTGACAGATAAGGAAACTGAAGCCCAGAGAAGTGAAGGGAGCTGCCCGTGGCCTCACGGCTGGGATGAGGCAGAGCTGGGACTAGAGAGGTGGGACCAGGCCCCCCTGGTGTCTGCCTTCCCTGGGAAGTCTTAGGGGTGGTATGACCCTGAGGTGGGGCTCCCGGGGCAGCCCCGTCTCAGAGGCGGCCTCCCCCAGGCTTCCACCTGAACAACCAGCTGACCCAGGCCCTCACTAGCCACTACCGGGACAGCCGTCTGCGCGTGGACTTCAAGCACTTGGCGTCCTGCGTGGCCCAGCTCATCTGCATCTTCCGTGAGTGTCATCCCTGGCACTGGTGGGACAGAGGGAGGATGTCTCCATGGTAGGTGGACCAGGGAGGTGGGCGCGCACCCTGCCCCTGACAGGCCACTGCAGCCAGCACCTGCATGGGGGCGAGGGGGTCGTCTGCCTGACCCACAGACAGCTGAGCCTGGGCTGCAGGGAGGGGTGGCACGGGAGTGTCAGGAGTCCCCTGCCTCATGCCTGCTGTTTCCTCTCGCTCAGTGGATGGAGGTGGCCATCTTCTAGGACCTCAGCCCGGGAGCCCTGCCTTTCCCTTCTCCCAGCCCGGACCAGGGTTTCCTCTACAGGAAGGGGGCTGATGCCCTGATGTTAAGCAGTGATTCAGAGCGTGGCCTTGGGAGCCAGCCTGCCTGGAGCTGACTTCCGGCCCCCCCCACTCACCAGCTGGGTGACACTGGGCAAGTCACTGCACCTCTCTGGTAAACGGGCATGGTAACAGCACCTTTCTCATGCAGGCTGCACGAGTTAGCCCACGTTACACGCTTACAACAGGGCGTGGCCTGGAATGGGTCCCCAACAGCACTCCTACTTTCACACACTCATGGGAACAGGGATCGGGGCACTCCCACGCCCCACCTCACTCTGGCAAGAGGTGCTCTATCATCGCTCTCCTAAGAGGTGGAGAACAGATAGAAAAACAGAGGACACTGTAGGAATCCTTCTTAAAAATATTACATGTTTTATTATCCTGTCCCCAGAAGGGTGGTTTATCCAGAAACCGAGAAAAAAAATAATCGGAATAAACTCAAAAAAAAAGGGGGGGGGGGAGGTGGTGGAGTGAAACCATCCACTAACAGGCAGCTAGGCCAGCAGCCCACCCTCCGCCTCGGGGGGGTCCCCAGAGACCCACACCGACGGCAGACATCAGAGAAATCAGTAAGGGGCTGGGGGAGGGGAGCAAATCAGCTATGTCTTCATTATGAGAGCAAGAGGCGGCGAAGATATGCTGCTAGGTGAATATATATTTATATAATAAATCCGTAAGTTAATAAAGTAAATAGTAATTCTCTGAAAGGTTTTTTTCATAGTTTTTTTTTTTGTGGATTTTTGTGTGTTTTTTTTGTGTGTGTTTTGTGTGTGTGTTTTTTTTCTTTTTTTCTTTTTCTCTTTGCGGGTGGAGGGGGTCCTTAGAAAATCTGAGAGATACGCAGGTCCAGACAAAGCAAGGTGGGGGCTGGCTGGGAGGCTGGTCTGCCCAACCCCACTCCTGGTGCAGAAGAGGGGGGACTGAGCTGAACCCCCTCATCTCCTGGCGATGCCAAGTGAGGGGAGGGGACCAGGGAGCAGGGAGCAGGCTGGTCCTCTTTCCTGCCGGGCAGCTGTGGCGCCCTCTACGGGGCCCACCGCAGGCCCGGGCGGTTCCTGGACAAGGCACGTCGGGCTTTGGCCTGGATGTGGGAGGCCTTGAAGGGACCTCAGGGGAGAAGAAATGGACCAGGGGGGCGGTGAGGGGTGGGCGTTTCTAGGGCTTGGAGGGGGCCTGTTTTGCTGTGAGGATCCACTGTCCCCTCCACAGAGTTAAAAAAACAAAACAAAACAACACATCATATATATTTACCAGACCAGAAGCGCTGACCCCGGAAGCCTCCCTCACCCCCCGTCCAGGGGGAGGGGGAGATCCTCCTGGCCCACTGACAAAGAGAGAGGAGAGAGCCTGCCCCAGCCCCTCCCTGCCCACCCCACTCCCGCCCAGAAAGGACTGACAGAGAGTGCTTTGCATAGATACAGAGTCAGAGGAGCGGGGCCAGGGGGTGCCCTTGCAGCGGGGGGGTGGGGTGGGGCAGAAAAGCTCCCCCAGCCCCTCCTGGAGGCTGTGAGGAGGGGTGTTTGGTCAGGGTTTCTCTGGTGGGGGCCTCACAGGTCGCTCTCGCCGTACAGGGCTGTGGAGAAGGACTTGTAGTCGAGGGCCCCGGGCACGGCATCAGGGCCCTGGTATGGGGCCATGCGGGCGATGCAGTACTCCGCCTGGTCGGGGGGCAGCTCTCTCCGCAGCTCCTCGGCTGTGATGAAGTTCTGGGGGCGGCAGGGCGGGAATCTGGGTCACCCCCGACATGGACGCTGGCCCACCGGGCCCCTCACGCCCAGCCCTGGCCGCAAGGGCCCCTCCCCGCCGGCCGCTGGGTGCCTCCCAGGTGTCTTGCTCACCTTGTCCCCGGCCAGGACCTTGAAGGAGGCGATGACCTGGTCGGCCGTGTCTGTGTCGGTGGTCTCCCTCGACATGAAGTCGATGAAGGCTTGGAAGGTCACGAGGCCGCTGTGGTTGGGGTCAACCACGCTCATGATGCGGTTGAACTCGGCATCGCCCTGCGAGGGGGGTGGGCAGGGGACAGGCGGCCTTTAGCGGGGCAAGGTGGCCGGGCCGGCCCGGTGGCTAGAACCGGGTCAGGAGAGCAGGGCCCGACCCCAGCGCACACGACAGGCGTCGTCAGCCCGCCTCCAAGGGTCTTGGCTCCCCGGCCGACTGCCCCACCTGCCCCAGACCTGGGGCGTACACCCTCTGCTCCTCCCGTCCCGCGTTTCTGGGAAGTGGGGAGTTGGGGAGTGGATCTAACAGGCCTACTGCTCCTCAGCCCTGGCTCGAAAGTTAGCTCCAGAGGGCGAGGAAGAAAGAAAGAAAGAAAGAGAAAGAGAAGGGGAGAGAGCTGGAGGCCTGACCTCCTCTCTCCGGAGACTTCCAGGAAAGGAGGTGGGAGGCTCAGGGAGTCATCGGAGGGACCCCAACCAGCAGATGCAGCAGAGGAGGAGGAGGGAGGCCAGGCCATGCTGCTCTGGTGGAGGAGTGTCCCCGAGGACGCGGACATTCTGGAGGCGGTGAGGAGGGACGGAGGAGGGGGAGGGACGGAGGAGGGGGAGGAGAAGAGGCACAGCAGCAAGGGCAGGCAGAGGCGGCATACCAGGCTGTATCCCGTGGAGATAAGCAGAGCCCTGAAGTCATCGGAGTCCATGCTGCCCGTCTGCTTCTGCTCGAGGACGCAGGGACAGCAGAGGAGACCGGGCCCAGAGTAGGCAAGAGGGGCCGCCCCGTGTGCACAGCGGGGAAACAGGACAGTGGCAGGGAGCGGGGGAGACAGAGGCGGCCCCGAGAGACCAGGTAAGGGGGAAGGTGTCCGGAGAGACACAGGGCAGGGAGGAGGCAAGAGAGCCCGTGAAATGGCAAACATGATGGCAAGGGGTGGGATGGCCAGAGGGAGGGGAGACAGAGAGAAGGAGAGAGAGAAAGAAAAGAGCAGTTAATGCCACAGTCCGCTGGGGCCCAGGGGGCGCGTACCTGCCGGTCATTCTCCACGTCGTAGCCCAGGCTGATGAGACAGGCCTTGAACTCCTCCGGCCCCAGCGCCCCGCCGTGGTCCTGCCGGCGTCCGAAGGCAGGTGTGCACAAGGGGCGGTGTGGAGACCAGGCCGGCACCAAGGCGGGGAGAGGGGCCCGGGTCACATGCAGAGGGTGGGGGAAGGGGACACACGGGGGAGGGAAACACAGAGTTAGAGGTGACGTGGACAAGGTGATGGCCAGGGTGGGGCAGCTGGAGGGGCGTGGGTGGCCTGGAGGGCAGTCAGAGGCCTCCTCCTGGCTCCTCTGGGCCAGAGCAGGGGTGGGAGCTGAGAGGTGCAGGATTGAGGCTTGAGTACCAGGACTCCTGGGAGGGAAGGGGGGAGCTCTCCTCACCTCCAGGATTTGGTGTGGGAGAAAGGGGATTGCACCCCCTCCTGCTGGGCTCCTGCCTAACGCCCAGAGCACATGCTACCCACAGAAAGCAGGCAGATGACACATCAGGCCCGGCAGGGCCTGGGGCAAACTGGTGCTCAGGGCCCCTCTAAAGGGGCTGCCAAACCAAATCTGACGTTTAAGGACACTGTGTGTGTGTGTGGATCAGATTCTTGGGTCAGGTCTCAAATCCCTGGTGTGCTGGGACCTGTCTGTTCAGGGTTGCATCGGCAGGTGGGCGAGGATGCATAGCCCCGGGGGCAGGGCTTGGGACTCCCCTTTCTCTTCCTGAGGGAAGCTGCCCACGCTGTGGGTCGAGGTGATGCACCTCTGCAGCCCCTTCAGTGTCTGGGGCCCTGCCGGCCCCTGTGAGTGGCCTCTGATACTCAGCAACTGTGATGTAAACAAACGGACAGATGCAAAGACGCAGGGGGCAGGGTGGGAGGTGACAGTGGGGAGGGATGACAGCAAGGGGCAGAGGGAGCGGCTCACCTTGTCGAAGTGATTGAAGGACGCCCGGAACTCCTGCATCTGTTCTTGGCTGATGCCTTTGGCATCGCGGGTGAGGATCTGGTTCTCGACCTCGTTGATGGTGCGGGCGATGGTGGTGAGCAGCTGCTCCCAGCCCACGCGGATGTGCTGCGGGAGGAATGAGGGCGTGAGTGTGGGCTGGGCCGGCAGGTGGGGATGCTGGGACCACCGCAGCTGTAGCTGAGGGGGGCCCGGAGCTGGCTTCTCCTTGTGCGGGGGTGTGTGTGGCCTGGAGTCAGACTCACCCTAACTTTCTCCCAAATGCCAACCCAGCCCCACACTCTGCCGTGTGGCTCATGTACACAGGGACACAGGCACGGTGCCCGCCTATTGCCTCTGCCAACCAGCGGGGTTCACGTCACACCGATGTATGTCCCAGTGACGGATGCGGCAGACAACCGGGTCCTGATACCTGTGCCAGGATCCACAGGGAAGCTTTGCAGAGACATGTTGGGCAATGTTTAACTAGCTTTCTGGGGAAACAGCCCTTCGCCCCTTTTATTTGGTGGCATCTTCCAATCTGCATGGTCTAAGTGCTGTCACCACGGACCATTTCAAGCTACCAATATGATGGCAACCAGCCCTGATGCTGTAACCTGGCGGCAGCAAGCCGGTGCACGGGATTCCCGCACATGCTGGCTGGATCTGCGTCCTCAAGTGAGGATGAAATGGCTGAGGACACACTGGGGGGCAGGTGCTGCCTGCCCTCCCAGCTCTCCAGGGAGCTTGTCTTGAGATGTGTGTTGTCATGGTGATGGGAGAGTAGTGGCCCGCAGCTCGTGGGAGGGCAGGCGGGGGGGCGCGGCAGGCTTGCCTCCATGGTGTAGTTGGTGTGCTTGTTGTCGAAGATGAGGGCCTCCTGGATGAGCTGGTGCTGCTGCTCCAGCAGGTCCAGGTTCGGCTTGTAGTCCACAATGCTGCGCTCGTACTGCTTCAGGTGGCTCAGCTGGTCCTCCAGAGTCCCATTCATCTCGATGGAGATGCGCCCGATCTCCTGCACAGAGGGTGGTGCTACTGGGGGGCGGGACTGGCAGACCCTCCGCCATGACCAGCCACCAGGAGGCGGTCTGTCGCGGGCCGCCCCAATGCCAGGGCGCCTCCAGCCCGGGGCCTCTGCCCAGGGGTCCCCTCCGGGAAGGCCTGCTGCTTACTGTCCCCTCCAGCCCACCCTCCAGTGTAACAGCAGCCACGATGCGGTTTCTGCACCAACGCTCCACAGGGCTAACCTCGCTGCTCCCCGCTTGACTCCCTGTGAGGCCCAAGACTGGGACAGACCTATTCCACAGAGGTGGAAACTGAGGCCCAAAGAGGGCAACTTATGACATTAAGAGGCAGAGCCAGGATCGGAACCCAGGCCTGGCGACTTCAGAACCCGTGCTCCTGAGCACGAGCACCCCACGCCTCGCTTCCCAGGGTGACCAAGCCGTGC